TTTTTTTTTTTTTTTTAATAAATTTTTATTAATTTTCCAAACATAAGATAAGAAAGCAAACAATACACAAAACACCGACATACAAACATATAAACATGTATAATTTCATAGCCATTTTTCATAAACCTTACTTTCCGGACTTCCCCATACCTCCCTTTTCTGCATCCTTGTTTTATATTTCTTCAGCAACTCCTCAATCAACTAATTATTCAATTCAATTTCTTTTAAGTTCTTCTAATATTATTAGTTACAGCTGCAGTTCTCTGTTTCCCAACCCCTTGACATTTTAACATTCCTGAATTTTACAACAAGTTCTAAGATAAACTTTAAATTTCTTCCAATCTTCTTCCACTGTCTCTTTCCCCTGGTCACGGATTCTGCCAGTCAATTCGGCCAGTCCCATATAGTCGATCACCTTCGTCTGCCATTCTTCCAGTGTGGGTAGTTGTTGTGTCTTCCAATACTTTGCTAGAAGAATCCTTGCTGCTGTTGTCGCATACATAAAAACGTCCTGTCCTTCCTTCTCACCAATTGGCCGACAATGCCCAAGAGAAAAGCCTCTGGTTTTTAGGGAAGGTCCATTTAAGAACCTTCTTAATTTCATTATAGATCATTTCCCAAAAAGCTTTTATCCTCGGGCAGGTCCACCAAAGGTGATAAAAAGTACCTTCAGTCTCATTACATTTCCAACATTTGTTATTGGGCAGATGATAAATTTTTGCAAGCTTGACTGGGGTCATGTACCACCTATACATCATTTTCATAATGTTTTCTCTTAAGGCATTACATGCCGTAAATTTAATACCGGTGGTCCACAACTGTTCCCAGTCAGCAAACATAATGTTATGACCGATATCTTGTGCCCATTTTATCATAGCTGATTTCACCGTTTCATCCTGTGTATTCCATTTCAACAGCAGATTATACATTCTCGACAGATTCTTAGTATTGGGTTCTAACAGTTCTGTTTCCAATTTTGACCTCTCCATCTGGAAACCTATTTTCCTGTCCTGTTTAAATGTCTCGTTTATCTGAAGGTAGTGCAACCAATCTCGCACTTTGGACTTTAATTTCTCATAGCTCTGTAATTTAACTTTTTCCCCATCTTGTTCTAGAATTTCACAATATTTTGGCCATTTAGACTCCATATTAAGTTTTTCACCTCTTTAGCTTCCATTGGTGACAACCACCTGGGAGTTTTACTTTCCAATAGATCTTTATACCGAATCCAAACATTGTATAATGCTTTCCTAACAATATGGTTTTTGAAACCTTTATGCTGTTTTACCTTATCATACCATATATATGCATGCCAACCAAATCTATTATCAAACCCTTCTAGATCCAAAATATCTGTATTCTCAAGAAGTAGCCACTGTTTCAACCAGCAGAAAGCCGCCGATTCATAGTAGAGTCTTAAGTCCGGCAGGGCAAACCCCCCTCTATCTTTAGCATCAGTTAGATTCTTAAATTTTATTCTGGGCTTTGCCCTGCCAGACAAATTTAGATATATCTTTCTGCCACTTCTTGAAACAGTCCATCTTGTCCAAAATCTGCAGTGTCTGAAATAAAAACAACATTCTAGGCAATACATTCATCTTGATAACAGCAATTCGGCCTAAGATCCGCTCTTTGCTTTTGACACTTCTCTGACTAAACAATCTGCACTCAAGCAGAAGATTCCCGGGGTTCAATCCCAGAGTAGGTCTGGGAGAGATCCCAGCAAGAAACCCCGGAGAGCCACTGCTGCCAGTCAGTGCAGGCAGTATGGAGCAGGATGGGCCAAGGGTCTGGCTCAGTAGGAGGCAGCTTCCGATGTTCCCTGGGACAGGCTGCAAGCTGAACTCTGCCTCCCCCCTACACAGCAACCAAGCATTTCTGCCCACCCCCCTCCCATTTGTGGCCAACCCCCTCGTCCCAACTTCGCCCTTCCCCTCTCGGGCCGGCAGCACCTACCCCAGTGGGCTTCTGTTTATGCCAGACGTAGGTGTCCCGGGAGCCCTCTCGTAGCGGTACGTGGGGGAAGGTGATCTCCTCCTCACCTGGGGAAAGCGGAAGACAAACCAGAGACCGGCTGCTGCACAAACCCAGCAAACCATGGCTAGCCTTAACCATGGTTCAACAAACAAAGGCTGGCATTCACCACGTCGTGCTCAGACATGATACTGAGCTACATTTAATAGAAAGCAAAAGCTTCCAGTCTCCTTGATGCCACAGCAGAAGAGGGGAAAGCGAAAGCTCAGGTGAGGGGTCTCCAAGTCACAATTGTCCATAGTTTATTGTGACACATGAATGCAGAGGTTCTGCTGCTTTTGTTTTATGTTGCATTTATCTTCCTGTGGGTGACTATTGCATTATGGTTGTTACATGATTTTAAACTTCCGCCCGACGCTTTAAGAGGCTGCCATTTGAATTTTCTAAATTAGTAACGGCGAGGCGTGAAGTTGCAGGTTCAAAGTTCAGCTCAGGCCTGAACCTCCTCGTCCTTCGCTGGCAGGAGGAGGAGAATGCGGCTGGCTTACTTGGCAGGGCGACTGCAAAAGTTACTGAGATAATGTATATCAAAAATGTTCGAAAAGCTATTTAGATAATGAGTGTTATTCCCTATTACTAACATAGCCCTTTTATCTGAAGAGGCAACACCACGCTTCAGCTTGTTCCTCCCTCCCCACCCATCCTGTGGCAAGGAGTTCCACAGGCTGTGCCTTCTACTGTTACGGATGCTAGCTATAATGGTATGGGGTTGCTCGTGCGTAAGTTGCCGCCTCTCCTGGCTATGTTGCCTTGTTAAACCTTTCTGTCTGGACAGCCCTTCAATTCGTAGCTGCCTCAGTCGCTAGCAGAATCCGTCAGTGGGCGTTTCTTAAACCTTTTCCAACATAAAAGTTGTTTGACGCCAAGTCTCCTCCTACTCTCCCTGCGCGGAAGCCTTCTGCGCAGGGAGGGCGTGGGTAGCGGAGGACCCGTGCTCTCCCCGCTGGTGTCCGGTGAAGAGTCTGGGAGCCCTCTCTCCGATTCCCCCATCTGCCCCTCCTTATTCCTGGTGTTGCGCTGAATTGCTTCCCCATCTGCTGAGCTGCCTCTCTCCCTGCTGGGCCCTTCTCCAGCATCATTTGAGAGCCTCCCCTCCGCCTCTAGCTCCGATGTCAGTTCCCTGACACTAGCCAACCTTCTTTTAAAAAGGGAGTTATTTAAAACAATCTGGGACCCTTAGCTCATCACCCAAAGCTGAGATGGAGAACGGCGGCTGCAACACACAACTCCTATAGTTGGAGAAGGAGGGGAAAGCGGGGCAGGGCGGGTTGAGGGGAGAGGGATCAGCCACTCACTAAATCGCAGGAAGATCTTGTGCTTCTCTTTCTCTAGGTTGAGCTGATCCACCCTGAGGAGCGGCTCAAACTCCTTGCGATTGATGTAGCTGAGGATCTCCTGAGGAGAGGAAAAGATGCCACAGATCAGTGCGTGGAACCTCGCAGAATCGTAGAACTGTAGCGTTGGGGAACCCCAAAGGTCCTCTAGTCCAACCCCATGCAATAATAATAATAATAATAATAATAATAAATTTTATTTATATCCCGCCCTCCCCAGCCAGAACCAGGCTCAGGGCGGCTAACACCAATAAAATAAAATCACAGTAAAAGCATAATAGGGGGAAAAGAGAGGGAAGAAAAAAAACCCAATTTAAAATACAGGTTAAAATGCAGTTTAAAATGCAGCCTCATTTTAAAAGTAGCCCATAGATCAAGACCATAAGGGGAGGGAAACATAAGGGTCAGACTGAGTCCAAACCAAAGGCCAGGCGGAACAGCTCTGTCTTGCAGGCCCTGCGGAAAGATGTCAAGTCCCGCAGAGCCCTGGTCTCTTGTGACAGAGCGTTCCACCAAGTCGGGGCCAGTACTGAAAAGGCCCTGGCCCTAGTTGAGATCAATCTAACCACCTTGCAGCTCAGGACCTCCAAAGTGTTGTTATTTGTGGACCTTAAGGTTCTCCGCAGGGCATACCAGGAGAGGCAGTCCCGTAGGTACGAGGGTCCTGGGCCACATAGGGCTTTAAAGGTCAAAAGAATGCAGGAACCATGGCTAAAGAACAGCTGGGAAGCCAAACTTTCTGAGTCCTAAGAACATAATGAGAGACCAGTTGTTTGGATCAGGCCCAAAGGAGCCCCCCCACACCACATCCCATAATCTTGTCCTCCCGGTGGCTGGCCAGTTGCTCATTATGGGAGACCTGGAAGCGAGACCTGAGACTGTCTCCTTACTTGCAGTTCCTAGCCACTGGCATTCAGAGGCATAGCTGTCAACTTTCAGATTTGAAAATAAGGGATCAGCAGCCTCACCTGTCCCGGGGACAGTCTATGGGATATCTAACAATCCGGGATAGCAGCGGGAAACGGCGCTGGAATAAGGGAATTTCCCGCAAAAAAAGGGAAGGTTGACAGCCATGTTCAGAGGCCTTCACTGCCACTGGCAGTGGAGGCAGCCAGAAGATCGTCCCGTTCCCCCCGTCCCCCAAATCTCAGGGCCAATCTAGACCCAGGTAAAGGTAAAGGGACCCCTGACCATTAGGTCCAGTCGTGACCGACTTTGGGGTTGCGGTGGTCATCTCACTTTATTGGCCGGGAGAGCTGGTGTACAGCTTCCGGGTCATGTGGCCAGCATGACTAAGCCGCTTCTGGCGAACCAGAGCAGCGCACGGAAACACTGTTTACCTTCCCGCCGGAGCGGTACCTATTTATCTACTTGCACTTTGACGTGCTTTTGAACTGCTAGGCTGGCAGGAGCAGGGACTGAACAACGGGAGCTCACCTGTCGCGGGGATTCGAACAGGCGACCTTCTGATCAGCAAGTGGGCCGTATTGCTGTGATAAAGATGAATGTATTGCCTAGAATGTTGTTTTTGTTTCAGACACTACAAATTGTGGACAAGATGGACTGCTTCAAGAAGTGGCAGAGAGATATTTCTAGATTTGTCTGGGAGGGCAAGAAGCCCAGAATAAAATTTAAGATATTAACTGATGCTAAGGAAAGAGGTGGATTTGCCCTGCCAGACTTTAAACTTTATTATGAATCAGCAGCTTTTTGCTGGTTGAAAGAATGGCTACTTCTTGAAAACACAGACATTTTGGATTTAGAAGGTTTTAACAATGTATTTGGATGGCATGCATACTTATGGTATGATAAGGTCAAAGCACACAAAGCATCCAAAAACCACATTGTCAGGAAAGCATTGTTTAATGTTTGGATAAGATATAAAGATTTATTGGAAAATAAAACCCCAAGGTGGCTGTCACCAATGGAAGCAAAAGCTCTGAAAAGGCTCAATATGGAGGCCAAATGGCCGACATATTGGGAAATTTTGGAACAAGAAGGAGATAGATTGAAATTGCAGAGTTTTGAGAAATTAAAAAACAAAGTGCGAGATTGGCTTCACTATTATCAGATAATGGAGGCATATAATTTGGATAAGAAAATAGGTTTCCAGGTGGAAAAGTCAAAATTAGAAACAGAACTGCTAGAACCCAAAACTAAGAATTTGTCAAAGATGTATAACTTGCTGTTGAAATGGAATACTCAGGATGAAACGGTGAAATCTGCTATGATTAAATGGGCACAAGATGTTGGACATAATATTATGTTTGCTGACTGGGAACAGTTATGGACCACAGGAATGAAGTTTACGGCATGTAATGCCTTAAGAGAGAATATTATGAAAATGATATACAGGTGGTACATAACCCCAGTCAAGCTTGCAAAAATCTACCATTTGCCCGATAATAAATGTTGGAAATGTAAAGAAACTGAAGGTACATTCTTTCACCTTTGGTGGACGTGCCCAAAGATCAAGGCTTTCTGGGAAATGATATATAATGAATTGAAAAAGGTATTTAAATATACCTTTCCGAAGAAACCAGAGGCTTTTCTTCTGGGCATTGTCGGCCAATTGGTGCCGAAGAAGGATAGAACTTTTTTTATGTATGCAACAACAGCAGCAAGAATACTCATCGCAAAGTATTGGAAGACACAAGATCTACCCACTCTGGAAGAATGGCAGATGAAGGTGATTGACTACATGGAACTGGCGGAAATGACTGGCAGAATCCGAGACCAGAGAGAAGAGACGGTGAAAGAAGACTGGAAGAAATTTAAAGACTATTTACAGAAATATTGTAAAATTGAGGAATCTTAGAAGGATGTTGGATAGAAACTAAGGGTTTTTAGCTGTAATGCTTTAAGAGATATGAAAAAGGTTTGCAACTGGGTAATTTCAATGGTAAGGATTTGCTGAATCAACAAATTGAACTGGAATACAAAAAGGGAGGTATGAGGAGGTCCGGGAAATAAGTATAAGGAAGATAGGTTATGGAAATTTAATGTCCTTTTAATTGTTTTATTTGGTATGTTTTCTTTTATTTTTACTTCTTTGGTTATATTTTTTAAAAAACTTTATTCTTGTTCTTTCTGTATTCTGTATTTTTGTATTTTTTTGAAACTTTAATAAATATCATTTAAAAAAAAA